GAGGAGGACACACACTGGGAGCAAGGTGGGTTAAGTGTCTTAAGGACACATGGACAGATTAACCCTTAATGTTCACCACATCCAGAGCGACTGCTATCCGGAATGGTCGTGATTTTCACTTTTCGCCAATTCCTACTGGATTCATTTGTGAGGCGAATTTCATGGCGGATTATGAACATCAGGAATCGCAAGAACTCACACGACCCCGCCGATTCACGTGCAATCGTGGCTAACGAGTTGTCTTTAGCCACAGAGGCTAACCATATAATCAGTAGATTGTGTCCTTCCAGAGGAGGAAATCTACTTCTTTTTATGTTGTGTCTGTGCCCGACTTCCTTTCCAGCATGGGTTAATCTGTGCTGAATTTATCCGCCATGCTCCGGCGTCCAGAAAAAATAGAACTCTTCTGATCCGGAAAGAAGCTGCTGGAAATCGACACATTAACTTTAATGGTTGTGATCAGCAGATACAGCCTTTTCTTAGCTGTTCAGGATGCAGTGGAAATTGGGGATAAGGATAGGGGGGAATTGAACCACCAACCTTCAGGTTATTGGACGACCGCCCTACCTCCTGATCATGATGACACCTTCAGAACTACAGAAACAGAAACCAACCTAACTGGGACTCCTGAGAACTGGAAATGTTCATGCTCTCTGGACACCATATTGACTCCACTCAGTCATCGTTCAAATGGACCTGAAAACTGTTTCCAAATGCAAAATCGTTGAATTTCAAACATGATTGAAAATGTGATTGATCATGATAATAACAGTTACTGCTAGTTTATCTTCTTAGTCTAAGTACACTGACGACAAGAGGAGGAACAAGACCCTCGAAACAGGATCTATAGTGATGCATTATTGATAAGGGGTCAAAGTGAGGGGACTGAGCTGCTGAGGATTGGTCTCTACCTCTGGTTCTCAGATCAAGTCCCTGAACCCTGAGCTGTTGCTGCCCCTGAGCCTCTGTTTCCCGGGGGGCAGTCCCTCAGGCGTGGATGTGTTGATAAAGAAGGAAAAGTCTGAGGTATGAAGAATAAAGAGGGAAGTCCTTCTAACACGGGTAGATTTGTTTTTTAATCATCTCAGGTTACTTGGATTCTAATTTTGACATGTCTGATCTTTAATAAGAGACTTTCCTGAACGTGTCAGGTGAATTTGGCTCAAAACTAGAGATAACTAGAAAAGCACTCGGAGAGCGAAGACCTCCGCCAAGCAGCTCACAGTATCCAGAATTTTGTCTGGATCAGGATCAACCTTTGACACCTCATAAAACTCATTGAGATCCTTTTGTGTCATTTTTTACTAAAGACTCTGGACATTTTTATAGAGTTAAATGCAAAAATACCAAAATGTGCCCTATCTCACAACAATAAAGAATCCTTCAAAAAATTCCTGGATCCAGAAGACGATCCGGATCACCACCAAAATGTAATGGGATCCTCCTGGGGCTGAGACGCACCTCTGGTGAAAATTTCAGGTCAATCCGTCTGTAACTTTCTCTGTGAAGTTGCTAACAGACAAACAAACAAACAAACAAAAAACAAACCAACGCTACCAAAAACATAACTTCCTTGGTGCAGTCCTATGATGAAATATACCTTATCTTACTGTGACATGAACTGTTATCTCAGGTCTTCATGTATAATTTTGTTCTTTAAAATAAAAACAGTAAGAAGAATAAATCAAACTTTGTGTTGATAAGCCTTTAGAAACGACTTTAACACGAATTTACAGTTTTAATTATAGTTTCCAAACCAGTGGGTCATCTCATCCCAGTGCACTGATGGGAGTATAACTCTACAAAGGCGGTTAATCAGATGGAGCTAATTAAAATAGAGAGGTTATGTCTGCAGATTACGCTCTGGTCCACTGACTCTAAGAGTGTGTTAATATCTCAGGTGAGTCATTCGGCCTCCGCAGGGAGGCTTCGAATCACATCATTATTTCCACCTGCAGTTTAAGGCGATGGTGACCTGACTGTGTGGACTGCATAATAACAAGAGGGAGTTAAGACATTATTATAATAGTGATCTAAAGGAGCACGATTCATCAAACACTGAAATGAGATAATACAACACTGAGCGTCTGTTTAAACCCCACTGTGCGGTTTGATTGGATTTAACCGTCTTCTTAAACCTGGGTTTGCTTTAATATCTTTGTATGTAGTTCTTCAATTACCTCATAATGAATGTATACAATTATAAGGTGAAGTAAAGATGCTGTAACCCGATCAGGATATAAGGATATAAATGTGTATGGTGGTGTCAGTCAGTCTCTTTTTAAACCGTTTCTCTGACGTCCTCTTTGGAGTTTAATTTCTTTTCCTGCAGTCAATCTAATTTTCACTGATCACTGTAATCTTCTCTTTATCCCTCATTTTTCCTGCCTTCTTCTTTAATAAATCGCTGTCATGTCGTCGCAGCCTCAGTCTTGTTTTTAGTCTTTTAAATTAGATTTAATGTCACAAAGTGAATCAAATATTCAAACACCTGCCGTCTCAGTTAGTCATCCAACTCTGGGGGGATATTTTTCCGGGACTGTGACAAGTCTTCACGACGAGAAAGAGCTGCTTTGACTGAAATGATTCACTGTTTCGACTTTTAGCGTTAAATTATTGAAGTTAGGTTTCTTATCATGAGGCAGGAGGCAAAGTTTGGATTAAACAGTGAGTTAAATATGATAACAGCCCTGAGAGAGAAAAGACACGAGGAGGAGAAACAGACAAGCTCTGCTAAAGAATATTTACCTGACAGAGGAGCGCAGACACGTCCTGTTCCCGAAGAAATCAGACGAAGCAGGAGGTCGTTTCTGAATAAAAAAACGACAAATGTTTGGATGTTTGAGGATTTCTGACCTCTATTATAGGATCTGACAACAATTCAGCATTAACACTCCTTTACAGACACTCCTGTGGGTACATTTTTAGTGGGCGGGGCTTAGGCAAAAAAAGGCAAAAAAAAGCCTTCAGATTCGTTAACTAGCCAGACACTAAGGGCTCTATTTTCGTGCCCGCCGGTGGTGTGGCAGAGGGTGGCGCACCTCGCACAGTGGTATTTTCGTCTGGTGGAGCCCAGCACACAGCCAGTTTGGTATTTTCGTAGACTGAGCTGGGCGTGGTGGCGCGGTAGAGGGAGGTGTCAAAAGAATCAGCTGGTGCAGTGATATTTTCGTGCTCGCCGGCAGCGTGGAAAGTGTGCTGAAAGCTCGCCGATTCAAACCTGGTCAGCTTTCAGCCCAGGCGGAGCGCAGCTGGTCTAGAGGTATTTTAGTAGACGGGCGGCGTATTGACATATATCATCGATGCCTCACAGTCAGTTTCCACAGAGTCAGGAACATTTCAGTGAAATAAATAATCAACAACAACCAATAATCTGAGTCAGCACATACATTTAGATCTATATCGATATATTCTGATCGATATCTGATCTGATGAGCGCGTTTGGACACTCAACCTGACCGAACCAACACAGCTGAAACTGCATTAAATTAAATTAAATATCCAGTAAATGAACACACATGATGGAAATTAACAAGATATTTAATTTGTCTCCCCCTTTCTCTCCCTCCCTCTGCCTCTTCTTCCTTTATTTTAGTGATCAGATGAGTTATTTACTTAAATGTTCTCACATCCTTCAAATTCAGTGAATACTCAATCTTGGGCACGCTTTATCGGCATGGCAGTCCTGACTTACGCCTTATATCTGATAGAAAGATAAACTTCTCAAAGTTACGACCTGCTAAGACACGACAAACACCAACCAGAGGATCTACATTTCCAAGATCGGGTCTCACGCTGATGTTTTTATGCAGATACTGTCAGCAGGTTTTAACTCAGCGTCCATAACCCACTCAGGAAACTTACACCATGTCCTCTGCGGACTGGTTTCTGACGCCCTCCTGACTCTGGATCAGCCCTTTAGCTTCCCCTGAGTCCACATCACAACCTCCGCCTCAGCCTGCACCCCCGAGTCCACGACTCCTGCACCGCTGTGACCAGCAAACAGACCTCTCCACCCGTCGCCCTGCCCCGGGCGCGGCCTCCTGTCTCACCCTGAGCTCCATCTTTCACCCTTCAGCTGTCAATCATCTGCAGCTCCATCAGCCCTGACGCTCTGTTTTCCTCCTCAGGCAGAAAAACCAATTAACGTGTCTGACAGTCGGCCGCAGAGCTTCAACTCCAGTTTCACATCTGGGTTTTATTTTCCTCTCCATGTGACCGCAGAACAATCTCGTCCAGTGACCCGTGTCAGCGCAGGTCAGGCGCAGAGAAATCGCTGCAGGATACCTCCGCATGGCTCTGATTCTATTATCCTCGCCCGTCCAAATCAGGTCCTGTTTGTCCTTGTTAGCGTTTCCACAGGGGCTGTTTTTCTCTCTGATGGTCCGTCTCCAATCAGGAAGCATTTCTGGTGTTAAATGACTTCATTTAACTCAGCAGACATCGCGGCGATGATGGCACAATCACAGCTACGTCCCCCACAGAGCTGCTGCGATCTTCCTAAATTGAGATGACCCCGTGGAAAGTCTTAATTTCCTTCAGCAGCGAGTCAAATCTGTGTTATTGTTCTTTGATGGCACGTTCAGCTGTGCAGCATTTGGAAAACACACGTTCACACTCTTGATTCCATTTGGCGAACACAATGGGCGTATTAGTGAGAAGGCGGCGTGACTAAATGTTTGTCTGGGTTTGACAAAGACGATGAGGGGAGCGGCGATAACGTCTCACAGTCTGTTTCCTTTGAACCGTCTCATCAGCAAACAACAGGAGTTACAAGACAGCGGTGATTCGATGAAGTCTGTTTATCCTACAGAGAGAAAGACCCTGAAGGTTTCAGTCATGTACAGAAGACAGAGGGTGAATGGATGAAAACATGAGTGGAAAACCTGACAAAAGGAGGCGTATGTTTATCATGCACCACAGGAGCTTCTTGTCCTCAGAGGCCACCGTCCCTCCACTCATGGAGGAGTGAGCAAGGGAGAATCTCTCATAATAAGCAGGAAGTTAAAGGTGTTGTAGTCAGGATCTGAGTTAGTTCCAGTTTTTAGGAGAAATCTTGAATGTAAACTCTACCCCTCCCAACCAGTTTTCCCCTCAGCTCCTCCTCTCCCCTCAAGCCCCGCCCACAAACAGACGCTCCTGCTCGCTCGTATCGTTCCAATTAAATTCAGATATAATGCAGATAAATACTTCAGATCATTACAAATGGGGCCCAGTCAAGGTGAAAGTCAAAAGCATTGGTGCTACTGTAGATGCCAACAGACTACCAGCAAACACAATGTTTGCAGGACTTCTACAACGAGGATAAAGTGACATAGTCCAGGACCCGAGGGAGGACAGTTTAGCGATGGCGCTACAACACGCTACAGCAGGTCCGTTTGACAAGAAACACTTCTGTTACAGACACTTGTCTTACTTTGTTAAAGCGGTTTACCTGTCCAGCAGAAAGGTTACAGGGTCACCAAGATCCCCAAGCGTCCCCCATCGTTTATGTTGACCCGTCTTTTTAGCTCTTGTCCGGTCTACCTCCGTTTTAAGCGCCCGTTATTCCTCCAGAGTCTCCGGTATTTACTTCGTTTTCTTGCTTGTGTCGGCAGTCGTGGCCAAAGGAGGATTCAGACAATTTTCCGAACTTTCTGGTTGGTTTCTACTGTCCGATATTGTAGCACGCTAACTTTGTTTGGGCTCCTGAACGACACGGGGGAGCAGCGTCTGCCTCACAACCAATCAGGTTAGAGGAGGTGGAGAACGGCTTTGTTTACAGTCAGAAAGAGCGGACCGCTCAAAAATGTTCAAATGTTGACGACACAGACATAAGAGAACACAGAGATATCGATATATTACCAAATGTCATCAATAACTAATAACTATTGACTGATAGTAAAAGATTTTTGTATAAAAACCACAAAATAAAAAGATGCTTCTTTAACAGAGTCCTGTCTACTTCACCTTTAAGTCGGTTTTCTTCTTGTGGACCAGACTTCTCCCCCCTCTCTCTCTCTCTCTCTCTCTCTCTCTCTCTCTGTCTCTCTCTCTCTCTCTCTCTCTCTCTCTCTCTCTCTCTCTCTCTCTCTCTCTCTCTCTCTCTCTCTCTCTCTCTCTCTCTCTCTCTCTCTCTCTCTCTCTCTCTCTCTCTCTCTCAGGGTGAGTTCATGTTGTGGAGATCTGATCCTGATCCATCAGTCTGTATAAAACCATAATCGGCTCATAAACCTGAACTCTGGTTCGTCTCTCACATGCTGTCCTCCATCATGAACTCGTGACTCCATGAACTTGGACTGTGAACTTACTGTCGTTATCTCCTCTGGTGTTTACAGCCAGCTGTGGGCGTGTCTACGAACGTCTGCACCACACAGATGAAGCAGCGCCGCTTTTATCGGAATAATAAATCTAAAAGTCGGAATCATAACGAACTTTTTATTGGACTCACAAATCAGGACACAGCTCAGAGTTTCCTGATCCTGGACCAGGACCCTGGAGTTCTGAGTTGATGTGGACTTAAAACTTTACAAAATGTGAAACAACTTTAAACACGTTTAAAATCCAGATTAACTCTAAAGAGTCAGGGATTAACGGGATTAAAGTCGTTTTTACATGAAGTTTGTCTTTAAATCCAAATCTCTCTCTGTCTGTATCTCTAAGTTTGGACTGACAGAAGTGAGAGACGTGAGTTTGACCACAGAAATAAGTCTCATTTCTCTTTTATGGTCAAAAAGAAACTCTGACGGAGCGGTAACATGACATCCAGCAGAAACAGACACAATAAAGACAAACAGACGAGGTGATTTCAGTGACTCAGTTTGAGGATTTTTATGATTTTTTTACCCACAATCAGAGACTTGACCACAATCTGAGCTGAGTCAGAAACATCCAAACAGTCGGACTAATAAATGTGATTATTATTATTAGAGTGATTGAAAAGCTCATAACAACATGTAGATCTGTCCAAAGTCTGATTCTAGATGTCTTTACAAACACACTGATCCAACAGAAGCAGACAGAAATATCCATCGATCACATGAACACAAATATTCAGCAAACAGAGAAAGAAACAGATCATCTGAAGAGTTTTTGGGGACGACTGGAAAGACTTTAGACGCTTGGATTTGGGACAGGAAATAAGGTCGTCCTTTTTCTGTGATTTTGACCTCACTTTTTTCTAAAGTCTCAGACCTTCAACATCTGCACCAACTGAAGGTGATTTGAACAAACCATCATCTTGATGTTGTTGATATCAAACTGTATGAAGATTTTTCAACATGAGAAATACAAACAATCAAAGTTCTCCACAATCACTGTCCTTAAAGCTGCGACCAAATCAGCATCTTTAGAAAAGAATCAAAAAGCTGAAATGAAGAACTAAACCCAGAGTTTTTGGTGAGACTGATCCACAAACATTTACAAACCAGAACATTTCAAGAGTTCAAGGATCTCAGTCCATGATTTTGGTCTGATGGACTCAAAATTCTCTTTAGTTCAGTTTAATAAACTCAGCAGAGTCTCCATCAGACCAGGGTAACCTTAGTCCAGCATGTAGAGGTTCAGTGAATGTGGTCTGGACTCTGTGGAGGAGAGTCATGGTTTCAGAGACGCTGTAGAAGGACAGAATACCTGCTCTGTGATCCAGGTACACTCCTACTCTGGAGGACAGAGGACCTGAGACATCAGTGAAGACTTTGTTGTGACCAAATTCATAACTGTTTTTAGAACAGTATAAACTCCAAGATTTGTCATTGTATCCAAATAAACAATCCCATGAGTCCCCGTCTCTCCTGATAGTCTTGTATGCGACTGCTACATAAACCCAGTCCCCTCTCCAGTCCACCTCCCAGTAACAACGTCCAGTCAGACTCTCTCTACTCAGGACCTGTTCATAATAAGTGAATCTGTCTGGATGATCAGGATAAGACTGTTCTTCTTCTTCTTCTTCTGTCTTTGTTGCTCTTCTGTTTCCATCAGATAATAACAGTCGTCTGTATGCTGTGTTTGGATCCAGTGTGATTCTTCGTGAATATCTTAAGAAACCAGCTCTGGTCTTGGGTTCTGCTGGTCCTGGTGGTTCTGACAGTAAAACATCCACTTCAGTCACGGCCTGTGAGACGTTTGTCCACGTCTCTCTCAGAAGATCCTGGAGTTTCTCTCTGACCTCTGACACAGCTGCTGTCACCTCCTCAAAGTATCTCTGAGGACGGATGTTGATCCTGGATGAGTCTGCAGGTTGACCCGGTTCTGACAGTGAGGGGTAGCTGTGCAGAAACTGGTTGTGGTCCTCTGTGAGTGAGAGCTTCTGCAGATCAGCGTCTTTCCTCTTCAGCTCAGTGATCTCCTGCTCCAGTTTCTCCTGAAGCTCTTTGACTCGACTCACTTCACGTTCCTGCTGGGATCTGACCTGCTGCTCCACCTCAGAGCGGCGTTTCTCCATCAGACGGATCAGCTGGCTGAAGATCTTCTGGCTGTGGTCCACAGCTTTATCAGCAGAGCCGTTGATAGCCTCCACCTCCTGTTGGAGCAGCTTCACATCTTCTTCTCTGTCCTGGATTCTCTGCTGGATGTTTCCTCGACTCTCCTCCAGATCTTTCTGCCTCTCAGTCCTTTCTGCTGCAGCTGAGACTGTGTCGTGACCTTTGTGTTGGTCCAAACAGCAGAGATGACAGATGGACTTCTGATCAGTGCGGCAGAAGATCTTCATCACCTCATCATGACGAGAGCAAATGTTCTCCTGGAGCTTCTTGGAGGGCTCCACCAGCTTGTGTTTAGCATAGGCAGGAGATTCATAATGAGGCTGGAGGTGTTTTTCACAAAATGAGATCAAACAGACCAGACAGGACTTGACAGCTTTCAGTTTTCTCCCACTGCAGACGTCACAGGCCACATCTTCAGGTCCAGCCTCAGAGGAACCATCAGGAGCAGCCTGGAGTCCGCTCTTCTTCACTTCCTCCACTAAACCTGCTAACAGGGTGTTTTTCTTCAGGACAGGCCTCGGTATGAAGGTCTCTCTACACTGAGGACAGCTGTAGATCTTCTTCTCATCCTCAGTATCCCAGTAGGATTGAATACAGCTCATGCAGAAGCTGTGTCCACAGGTGACAGTCCCCGGATCCTTCAGAAGATCCAAACAGATGGAACAAGAGAAAGACTCACGGTCCAGATGAACTCCTTTCTGCGCCATTTCAACACTCGCTGTCGACGACGACTGACTGAGTTTTATTTCCTGGTCTGAGCTCTGATCTAAAGTCAGCTCAGTTTATGTTGGTTACACCCATCTTCAGACTTTGGACCTGATCAGATCTGGGAGAGGTTATCCAGTTTGTTTATAATCCAGGATGAGGAGTGTCTCTGTGAACTTTAGACTCTCAAACTCCAACAAGCAGAAGTTCTTAAAGCTGCAGCCGTCCTGAAGATCAACTGAACCAACATTTATTCACCTCATAGAAACCTCATCGAGCAGAAACACACTTCAACTGTTTTAGAGCCACAGAGTTAAAGAGACAACACAGAGAAACACTCTCTCTCTCTCTCTCTCTCTCTCTCTCTCTCCCTCTCTCTCTTTCTCAAGCCCCGCCCACAAACAGACGCTCCTGCTCGCTCGTATCGTTCCAGTTAAATTCAGATATAATGCAGATAAATACTTCAGATCATTACAAATGGGGCCCAGTCAAGGTGAAAGTCAAAAGCATTGGTGCTACTGTAGATGCCAACAGACTACCAGCAAACACAATGTTTGCAGGACTTCTACAACGAGGATAAAGTGACATAGTCCAGGACCAGAGGGAGGACAGTTTAGCGATGGCGCTACAACACGCTACAGCAGGTCCGTTTGACAAGAAACACTTCTGTTACAGACACTTGTCTTACTTTGTTAAAGCGGTTTACCTGTCCAGCAGAAAGGTTACAGGGTCACCAAGATCCCCAAGCGTCCCCCATGGTTTATGTTGACCCGGCTTTTTAGCTCTTGTCCGGTCTACCTCCGTTTTAAGCGCCCGTTATTCCTCCAGAGTCTCCGGTATTTACTTTGTTTTCTTGCTTGTGTCGGCAGTCGTGGCCAAAGGAGGATTCAGACAATTTTCCGAACTTTCTGGTTGGTTTCTACTGTCCGATATTGTAGCACGCTAACTTTGTTTGGGCTCCTGAACGACACGGGGGAGCAGCGTCCGCCTCACAACCAATCAGGTTAGAGGAGGTGGAGAACGGCTTTGTTTACAGTCAGAAAGAGCGGACCGCTCAAAAATGTTCAAATGTTGACGACACAGACATAAGAGAACACAGAGATATCGATATATTACCAAATGTCATCAATAACTAATAACTATTGACTGATATTAAAAGATTTTTGTATAAAAACCACAAAATAAAAAAAATGCTTCTTTAACAGATTCCTGTCTACTTCACCTTTAAGTCGGTTTTCTTCTCGTGGACCAGACTTCTTTCCTTAGACTAGAGATCAGCTGGACTCTCTCATATGAACACTGACCCCCCCCCCTCGTGACTCCATGAACTTGGACTGTGAACTTCCTGTCGTTATCTCCTCTGGTGTTTACAGCCAGCTGTGGGCGTGTCTACGAACGTCTGCACCACACAGATGAAGCAGCGCCGCTTTTATCGGAATAATAAATCTAAAAGTCGGAATCATAACGAACTTTTTATTGGACTCACAAATCAGGACACAGATCAGAGTTTCCTGATCCTGGACCAGGACCCTGGAGTTCTGAGTTGATGTGGACTTAAAACTTTACAAAATGTGAAACAACTTTAAACACGTTTAAAATCCAGATTAAGTCTAAAGAGTCAGGGATTAACGGGATTAAAGTCGTTTTTACATGAAGTTTGTCTTTAAATCCAAATCTCTCTCTGTCTGTATCTCTAAGTTTGGACTGACAGAAGTGAGAGACGTGAGTTTGACCACAGAAATAAGTCTCATTTCTCTTTTATGGTCAAAAAGAAACTCTGACGGAGCGGTAACATGACATCCAGCAGAAACAGACACAATAAAGACAAACAGACGAGGTGATTTCAGTGACTCAGTTTGAGGATTTTTATGATTTTTTTACCCACAATCAGAGACTTGACCACAATCTGAGCTGAGTCAGAAACATCCAAACAGTCGGACTAATAAATGTGATTATTATTATTAGAGTGATTGAAAAGCTCATAACAACATGTAGATCTGTCCAAAGTCTGATTCTAGATGTCTTTACAAACACACTGATCCAACAGAAGCAGACAGAAATATCCATCGATCACATGAACACAAATATTCAGCAAACAGAGAAAGAAACAGATCATCTGAAGAGTTTTTGGGGACGACTGGAAAGACTTTAGACGCTTGGATTTGGGACAGGAAATAAGGTCGTCCTTTTTCTGTGATTTTGACCTCACTTTTTTCTAAAGTCTCAGACCTTCAACATCTGCACCAACTGAAGGTGATTTGAACAAACCATCATCTTGATGTTGTTGATATCAAACTTGATGAAGATTTTTCAACATGAGAAATACAAACAATCAAAGTTCTCCACAATCACTGTCCTTAAAGCTGCGACCAAATCAGCATCTTTAGAAAAGAATCAAAAAGCTGAAATGAAGAACTAAACCCAGAGTTTTTGGTGAGACTGATCCACAAACATTTACAAACCAGAACATTTCAAGAGTTCAAGGATCTCAGTCCATGATTTTGGTCTGATGGACTCAAAATTCTCTTTAGTTCACTTCTAGAAACTCAGCAGAGGCTCCATCAGACCAGTCTAACGTCAGTCCAGCATGTAGAGGTTCAGTGAATGTGGTCTGGACTCTGTGGAGGAGAGTCATGGTTTCAGAGACGCTGTAGAAGGACAGAATACCTGCTCTGTGATCCAGGTACACTCCAACTCTGGAGGACTGAGGACCTGAGACATCAGTGCAGACTTTGTTGTGATCAAATCCATAACTGTCTTTAGTACAGACTAACCTCCAAGATTTGTCATTGTATCCAAATAAACAATCCCATGAGTTCCCGTCTCTCCTGATAGTCTTGTATGCGACTGCTACACCAACCCAGCCCCCTCTCCAGTCCACCTCCCAGTAACAACGTCCAGTCAGACTCTCTCTACTCAGGACCTGAACCAAACCAGTGAATCTGTCTGGATGATCAGGATAAGACTGTTCTTCTGTTGTATTTGTTGCTCTTCTGTTTCCATCAGATAATAACAGATGTCTGTTTGCTGTGTTTGGATCCACTGTGATTCTTTGTGAATATCTTAAGAAACCAGCTCTGGTCTTGGGTTCTGCTGGTCCTGGTGGTTCTAACAGTAAAACATCCACTTCAGTCACTGCCTGTGAGACGTTTGTCCACGTCTCTGTCAGAAGATCCTGGAGTTTCTCTCTGACCTCTGACACAGCTGCTGTCACCTCCTCAAAGTATCTCAGAGGACGGATGTTGATCCTGGATGAGTCTGCAGGTTGACCCGGTTCTGACAGTGAGGGGTAGCTGTGCAGAAACTGGTTGTGGTCCTCTGTGAGTGAGAGCTTCTGCAGATCAGCGTCTTTCCTCTTCAGCTCAGTGATCTCCTGCTCCAGTTTCTCCTGAAGCCCTTTGACTCGACTCACTTCACGTTCCTGCTGGGATCTGACCTGCTGCTCCACCTCAGAGCGGCGTTTCTCCATCAGACGGATCAGCTGGGTGAAGATCTCCTGGCTGTGCTCCACAGCTTTATCAGCAGAGCCGTTGATAGCCTCCACCTCCTGTTGGAGCAGCTTCACATCTTCTTCTCTGTCCTGGATTCTCTGCTGGATGTTTCCTCGACTCTCCTCCAGATCTTTCTGCCTCTCAGTCCTTTCTGCTGCAGCTGAGACTGTGTCGTGGCCTTTGTGTTGGTCCAAACAGCAGAGATGACAGATGGACTTCTGATCAGTGCGGCAGAAGATCTTCATCACCTCATCATGACGAGAGCAGATGTTCTCCTGGAGCGTCTTGGAGGGCTCCACCAGCTTGTGTTTTGCATAGGCAAGAGATTCATAATGAGGCTGGAGGTGTTTTTCACAAAATGAGATCAAACAGAACAAACAGGACTTGACAGCTTTCAGTTTTCTCCCACTGCAGACGTCACAGGCCACATCTTCAGGTCCAGCCTCAGAGGAACCATCAGGAGCAGCTTGGAGTCCGCTCTTCTTCACTTCCTCCACTAAACCTGCTAACATGGTGTTTTTCTTCAGGACAGGCCTCGGTATGAAGGTCTGTCTGCACTGAGGACAGCTGTAGATCTTCTTCTCATCCTCAGTATCCCAGTAGGATTGAATACAGCTCATGCAGAAGCTGTGTCCACAGGAAAGAGTCACCGGATCCTTCAGAAGATCCAAACAGATGGAACAAGAGAAAGACTCACAGTCCAGATGAACTCCTTTCTGCGCCATTTCAACACTCGCTGTCGACGACTGACTGACTGAGTTTTATTTCCTGGTCTGAGCTCTGATCTAAAGTCAGCTCCGTTTATGTTGGTTACACCCATCTTCAGACTTTGGACCTGATCAGATCTGGGAGAGGTTATCTAGTTTGTCTATAATCCAGGAGGAGGAGCGTCTCTGTGAACTTTAGACTCTCAAACTCCAACAAGCAGAAGTTCTTAAAGCTGCAGCCGTCCTGAAGATCAACTGAACCAACATTTATTCACCTCATAGAAACCTCATCGAGCAGAAACACACTTCAACTGTTTTAGAGACACAGAGTTAAAGAGACAACACAGAGAAACACTCTCTCTCTCTCTCTCTCTCTCCCCTCAAGCCCCGCCCACAAACAGACGCTCCTGCTCGCTCGTATCGTTCCAATGAAATTCCGATATAATGCAGATAAATCCTTCAGATCATTACTAATGGGGCCCAGTCAAGGTGAAAGTCAAAAGCATTGGTGCTACTGTAGATGCCAACAGACTACCAGCAAACACAATGTTTGCAGGACTTCTACAACGAGGATAAAGTGACATAGTCCAGGACCCGAGGGAGGACAGTTTAGCGATGGCGCTACAACACGTTACAGCAGGTCCGTTTGACAAGAAACACTTCTGTTACAGACACTTGTCTTACTTTGTTAAAGCGGTTTACCTGTCCAGCAGAAAGGTTACAGGGTCACCAAGATCCCCAAGCGTCCCCCATCGTTTATGTTGACCCGGCTTTTTAGCTCTTGTCCGGTCTACCTCCGTTTTAAGCGCCCGTTATTCCTCCAGAGTCTCCGGTATTTACTTTGTTTTCTTGCTTGTATCGGCAGTCGTGGCCAAAGGAGGATTCAGACAATTTTCCGAACTTTCTGGTTGGTTTCTACTGTCCGATATTGTAGCACGCTAACTTTGTTTGGGCTCCTGAACGACACGGGGGAGCAGCGTCTGCCTCACAACCAATCAGGTTAGAGGAGGTGGAGAACGTCTTTGTTTACAGTCAGAAAGAGCGGACCGCTCAAAAATGTTCAAATGTTGACGACACAGACATAAGAGAACACAGAGATATCGATATATTACCAAATGTCATCAATAACTAATAACTATTGACTGATATTAGAAGAGTTTTTGTATAAACACCACAAAAAAAACAAACTTCTTTAACAGATTCCTGTCTACTCCACCTTTAAATGGATAAGTTTGAGTCAACATTTCTAATACGTCGAGTCAGTTTTGACATGATTGAGGCGACGATCCGAGTTGTAAACACGCTAAACTCACAAAATGTGGACTGAGTTTTTATCATCCCAACAGTAAACGTTAAAAAACCTGCAATCAAACAACCTGAAGGCTGAAAAACTGAACGTTTGGAGGATCTGGACTCTCTTAAATGAGGCACTCGGGCAGACCGGCTTACGTTGATTATAGTCCGTGCAAAACTAAAGGGATTCTTCATCTTTGCACGACAATAGAGACAGAAATATTCAAGGTTGTTGGAGGATTTTCGCGGACAGGAAATCCTATTCCCTGAGACATATCTGCATAGTGCTGGGCGATATGGAAAAAAATGTATATCACGATATGGATCATTTTATATCACGATAACGATATATATCACGATATAGTTATGGTATGCTTTCAGTTCTATGAAAAATTAAAGTGTATACAGCTGCACTAGTACAGTGCCAGTACAAGACCAGCACTTAAAACTAGAAAAATGAATAAATAAATACTTGGCTGAAGTGCGTTCATGTCTGTGCTCACCCAAAGTTATGCAATACTCACAGAAAACGCCGATAGTGTGAGCCAAAGCACTCCATAATAATAATAATAACAATAATAATAACAATAATAATAAAAATAAATTTAATTTGTAATGCACTTTACATTTACAAAAAATCTCAAAGTGCTACAGTACACAGTAAAAAAAGAGCAGCAACAATAAAAAAGCAATAGAATGACAGTTACAGATTGGCATAAAAAAAAGAATAAAAAAAATAAAGAATATAGAGTTGCAATGTAAGAGGCAAGGTAGTAAAAGCATAGAGGAAAGCTAACCAAAGGCTTTATTAAAAAGGTAGGTCTTTGAAGAGGTTGTTCACACTGCTGGATGTTTCTCCTCCAAAGCTGCTCTCTGCCTCCATCATTGTTTACTTTACTCTTGAAGCACGTAGGAAGACCCGAGCATGAATCCGAGCGCTTTATTCGCCTATCAGGAGCAGACAGGTAAGGTGATTTGATTCGCCACGACTCCAGAAATGATTGAAAAACTACAGAATGTCACAAAATCACGTTTCCTCGCTCCTGACTTGAAGGGTACAAATGCGCAGCCGCGCTCCCAGCTGACAGGAAGTCAAACCACTGTTGTAGTTCTTTTGTGTTGCTAGCGCGGTCAAGAGTGTTGGCTCTCACTGAGAGATGACTACAAAAATGGACACACCTGTTCATCTGGTTAAACACGGCTGAACGGCTGAACACGGCTCGCTCCTGCCCACTCCCGTTGCTTTTTTTCCCGTCCCGTCGGAAAGGGGTTATTTAAAAATGACTCCCATCGCGTGGGATTCCCGCGGGAATCACGTGACCCACGGGAATTCCCGAAAAAAGTCATCCTCTACAGGGAAGGTCCCGGAGCAGATGAAACAGGTGCCGAAGCGGCTGAAATAGGTCCCGGATCCGATCAAAAGAGGTCCCGGATCGCGCTCCGACTTGCTCCGGCACAAATTAAGCACTGCTTACAATGATCCCCTCACGTGTGTAACCCAGGTAACCCGCAACGGCGGGAGACGCTGGACACAAAGAGGGCACGTAAAGCGGCGTCATGTCGCAAAATCGAAAGAGAAATGCGAGCCTACATGTCAACGCATCCTTTTCTTTGTAAGAAAATATTGTTTTCTTGACACCAAATACATTTACTGGATGTGCAATTATTGTTGTTGTTACTATGAATCATCTGATGGCACAAGCCGTATGGATAAAATACAGCCTATCGCCTGAAACGATAAAAATAGAAATGGCACGATAGACATTTTCTATCGTGCCCACGATATCTATCGTCCTATCGCCCAGCACTATATCTGCAGCATTTTTAAAGAAAGGTGAAAGTGGACATCTTTGTGGAGGGAGAAGGTGTTTTTTTCGTCTGTTTTGATGGGCAGGTAGAGGAGGAAGCTTGTTTCACGGACAGAAATCAGTTTCTGTCTCCATATCTGCAGAAAGAGAGAAACACAGAAGGAGATTTGTGCAGCAGGCTGTGGCCGTAATGCTGCAGAAGTTTGTAGATTGGTCTCAGTAATTGGGGAGAAGAAGGTGAAGAAGAGAAAAAAGAGGCACATGAGGGATGGAAAGTGACGGACGGAGAGGAGATAACGACAGGAAGCTATCTCCACAGGCGCCACATCCAGACTGGGCTCAGGGTAAAAGCAGCGCTGTAGGTTTTCAACATCTCCTCGGGCTTTAAATAAACGCCAAATGACTTCGACGGAGGAAACCAGGAGGTGGAAACATCACCGGGGAATCTGTGTTTGAAGCCGAGGAAGAGGAGAGAGAGAAAAATGGAGATCCTCTGGGGAGCTGCATTAAAAGAGGAGAGTCAAACTGCTCCTCCTCCTCCTCCTCTTCTTCATCCTCTCTGACGTTTCCTTCCTCAGAGCGAGCTTCTCTCCAAATTGAGGATCATGTTCCTCCTTCACGTGAAGAGTCAGGTTTGGTCGTTGGCGTTCGTATGTAAAAGTTTTAGATTTATGCACATCTAAAATCCGTTTGCAGGTCGGCTGCTCCCCCCGGCAGTTTCCACTTCGCTGTTTGGTTTTCAAATGTGTTCGTGTTTCTAAACTCGACGGTCAGGATGTCAAACATCAGCGTGTTACCAACCAGAACATGTAAATGAACTTCAGTCCACAACAACCATTCAGACTTTATGAAAACAGGAAATATTTTAGTCATTCAAACCTCTCAGGCAGATCAGTGTGAACTCTGTCATTTAGCAGTAAAATTTAACAAATTAAAAGCTTGTGTGGTTCTTCATTAACATGGATCTGCTGTTTAAAGTTTGATTATTTTAATACTGAAGTTTTCCCAACAGTCTGATCTGACTCATTATCACAGAAAATTAGAGGAATAATCATTAAAAAAATTAAAACTCCTGTTTAAATGTTTGATGAAGAGAAGCTCAAATATTAACTCTGTCATCCGTTCATCTTTGATAAACTGTTAATCAGTTAAATCTGTTTAAAATGAAACGAAGTTAACGATCAGTTAAAGCTCCGGTGAGGAACTTTTGGTTTAGATCAGTCTTCTCTTATCTCGTCCACTACATACTTATGTAGTTATTTATGATGACGAACCTCATCCTGCTGACTTAAGATGGTCATTTTGATGATCATTAAGAGGCATTAAGATAATTTTCAGTTTGTGTCATACTTGTTAAAAAAACTCCTAACAGGAGCTTTAAATCCTGTAACAAACGTCACACAGAGTTAGATATACTCTGTGGAAATCAGGGTTTCCTCTCTGCTGGTCCGAGTGTTAAATCTAAAGTCTTACATGGATCTAGTCGACACCACACTAACTTCTAAATAATGACACTAAAACTGGAATATCGGCTCTGCAGCAGGACAACATCCTCCCGCCTCGATCACAACAAGTGTGTCACAATGAAACCAGAACAAACCGGATTCAGAGCGAAACATTTCCTCTGACCTTAAAGACGTGTTGTCCAGCTTAAATCCTGGACTACTCGTGGTACTGGATCAGACGTGTCCATGTGGGTTGGGTTAGGGTCTCTACGCTGAACCTGTTGCTGGTATTTCCACGTCCCTGTTGATGTTTTTTTCTGAAAATAAAACGTGAGAATTAAGACATTAAATCCAAATGTAAGTTAAAAGTTTTATTGGTACTTTTTCACATCCACATTAAATAATCAATATTAATAATTGATGACGATTCATAGATTGACTGAGATCTGGTGTTTTAATCAGCTGGTATTGTCTGATAATAATAACAATTACAGGAGCTAAAACTTTAGATGATATTTGTCTTATTTGGCTGGAAACACACAGTTTAATATGGCACACATGATTTTAGGACGAGCCTCTAGTGGACACTCTAGGAACTGCAGCTGTTTGCAGTTGTTTTTAATGTCAGAAATCACTGCTTAGAATCAGTGAAACACGAGTGATAAAGAAACATCCAAAAGAGAGACTAAAGGGGCGTTCAGACCAAACGTGACGCGACCTGGTCACGTCGCGTCGCGGGGTGCTCTGGTGTGTTCACACCGGGTCCAAAGTTGCAGTCGCAGGTCGCGGCTGGTCGCCGGTGACGTCATCCATGAGAGCGTCACTAGCTCAGTTTTCAGTTCATCGTCCTCGGTGCTGCCGCATTTCCGTACATCCGCAGTAGACGCCGCCGGCGTTTATGGGTGCATGAAACCATCCGGAGGAGGACGGAGCTGGGTGAATTTCACCGCTTGCTCCAGGAACTCTGCCTGGACGACGGCCGCTTTCAGCGGTATTTCCGTGTGTCGACGGCGCAGTTCGAGGACCTCCTCGCCCAGGTGGGAAGCAGCATCTCCCGCCTGGACACGAAATACAGGCGCTCCATCTCAGCTTCGGAACGCCTGTCTATCTGTCTGTCCCTCATATAAACGTCCCTAAGCCCCTTCCACCGCTTGCGGCACACGTCCACTGCAAAGACACACACACATACGTTGAAACATGTAGCCTAGCAAGCAGGGGCAGTTAGCTATGTTTTCATAAAACAGTCCGCTCACTGAAATAAATACACAAACAAACTTACCAGAAAGCCCGACGTCATGGGCCACCTTCGCCCATGCCTCCCCCTTGGAGGTGGGGTCCCGGTAAAACGCGCACCCCACGTCGTACAGGACCGGGTGATAACTCACGGCAGTGATAAACTACGGCTGTGTCCGAAATGGCATACTGCCTACTATCTACTTACCTACTCAAGCAGTAGCTACTGCCTACTGACTACTCAAAGATGATTTGAGTATGCCGCGGCTGCCCGAGCGTTTACACACATACATACTAAATACCCCAGAATGCATTTTGTGCCGGCCGGACGCAGCGCCGGGAAAATTTAAATAGTCCTACCACAAGCTACACAGAACGACTGCATACCGGACAAATTATATAAATTCATTCAATAATAATATTTTTTCTAGCGAGAAAGTAAGTGTTTACATCACGATTATGAGCCCAGTTGTTTGAAATAGTGGCTGTTTGTAAATTTGTCTCTGCGTTTTCGGAGACCGAAGCGTCCACTTGGTCGGCGTTTGCGTCTATTTACCGTAAACACCGGGCGGCAGCAGCAGCTCCCCCTTCAAGTTTCCAAATTATTGCTTAGTGTTTTCATAATCAACATCTACGCGACACAAACCGGGCGGCAGTGGATGAAAAAAATCACACAAACATCCGTGTATCCATGGTGATAATGCTATACACCACCTGCTGGCCGTGTGATGAGCAGCAGAGGGCTGCAAAATGACCAACACACAACATAATTATTATGACCTCGTTCGGTTATTCCTTGGCAAATACATCATTTCCCGACTACATTCTTTTCATGTACAATGATAATTTCAGAAACCATCAGATTTTCAACCACAAGTAAGAATTAGTGAAGCTCACATAGATTGTCAACTGGAAACTCCCCCGTTTGTATATTCTGAACCATGTGCTCTCTACCAAAGATAATTTTTATTAATCAGAGGTCTGTGCTTAATATGAGCGACCACTTTGATGATGCATTCAGAGATGAGAAGATGCTCAAACTTGATGTAATAAATACATCTTTAATAGACACTTAAATAAATAAAGTCAATTCATACGAATAGTTAAAAAACATTACCTATAATCCTAATTTAAAACACAAATAAATCTGGTAAAAAGGTCAAAATATGATAAAATGATGAAAATTGTGTAATGTATACTGACTAAATATTGTTTATCTATTTATATATATATATATCATTATTATTGCAATCACATGCCATCTATTTCTTTTCAGCCTCGGGAAGGAGGGCCATATTACCAGCTGAGGTGCGCAATGCATTGTGGGGCAGAAGCAGTACGCGAAGCAAGCTCCGTTGCACACTCAGAAATCGAAGCCGATTGAGTATACATCCGGGCATTTCTCGCATACACAAAATTCACATACTGTACAGTGTGAACGCACTGCCTACTCAATTCAGAGGCGGGGTTAGTAGGAGTAGTAGGAGTAGTAGGCCATTTCGGACACAGCCTACTACTCCATTGTGATTCTTCTTCTGCTCTTCCTTGTTTCGCCGGTTTGTTGACGTCAGCAGAGCCCTGATTGGCTGTCGCGGCACGGGGTCGCGGATAGTCGCTCCCAAAGTTCAAATATTTGAACTTTGGGAGCGACGCGACTTGGCGTCCTGCGACCTCGGCGACGGTCGCCAAGTCGCGTCAGGTCGCGGCTGTCCATAGACTTTGCATTGGGAGCCGTCGCCGACGTCGCCGACGTCGCCGAAGTCGCGTTTGGTCTGAACGCCCCTTAAGTGACAAAACGAAAGAAGGACGAGGGTCAACAGAGGAAGAGGAGGAGAAGAGGGGCTGATAGATAGAAACAGGGTTAGTTCACGTGTCTGCAGATAGAAGCATCCAAACTCGGTCCTCTCAGACTGAAAAGCTGCAGCCTGTTAAAGAGAGAGAGAGGGACAGCAGCTGAAAGTTCATTATGCAGATTACAGGGTTCAAATGTCTCCATTTAGAGCGTCCAATTTCTGCTTTACGGCCTTTCAGAGCCAGCGAACGAGGAGACGATCCATCAGAGGTTAGCAAAGAGCGGCGGGGTCAGGACAATCCGATTCCTCCGCCACGTTCCCTCAGCTGCACCGAGTTACAGAAACAGCATTAGAGTTCAGGTTCTTCTGGATCTGAAAATGTGAATATGAACATTAGGTCGAGGCCGAACACTCCCACACACGTACAAATATGAAGATCTTCTTTCCTGCAGCAGAGACAGTCATCTGAATCTTTGATTATAAAACCAGCAGCAGCACCACAGCCTCCAAACCGACTGTAGATATGATTTATTATGCAAATCTAACCTTAAGGTTTAATTTCTGCAGCGGTCCTAAAAACTGCAGATGTGCTGTGTGGGAAGAAAAATCTGTGGACTGTGAAAGGTCAGCTGGAGATTGGGAAACTTTCTCTCACAGATTAATCAAATTACAGTAACAATGAAAAAAACACACACACACTGATGAATATTCAACAAAGTATTTTAACCATTAAGATGATTTACAATTGTAATTTATTCTCCTCCACCATCGTCTCTAAATGATCTGCATGTGTGATATAATTATCAGCAGAGAACATGCAGATGGAAAAAAGACCGTTCTTCACGTGTGTGTGTGTGTGTGTGTGTGTGTGTGTGTGTGTGTGTGTGTGTATAATGAGTCTGCTGACAGTAGGAGGCCGTCAGAGGCGTGGGTGATTTATTTTATTTGGCATCTGCAGATGAAGATGTGTCGGCTCGTGTTTAAGAACATACAGACGGTTATCTGACTTCAAAAATGATCCGGATACGAGGAGGTCGTCCTCAGATTCACATCAGAGCCGAATGATCGACTGATTCTTAATTTCAATCACAGTTATTAGTCCTTCTGTTATAAACTATGATGATAAAGACTGAAGGATTAATGAGTTACTCTCATTTATGATTCACGATAAACAGAGTTTTTATGATTTCCTTTAAATGAACGGCGTTCTCACTTCAACGCCATCGTCACGACCTCAGATCAACGAGAAAGACAGGAAGTGGAGGACGAGCAAATATTGAACATCTCTCAACGTTAGAGAGGAGGGAGGAGGAGAGAGAGGAGGAGGAGAGGGGAGGGGAGAGGAGAGGGGAGAGGAGGAGGAGAGAGGAGAGAAGGGAGAGGAACAGGAGGGATAGGAGAGGAGAGGAGAGGGGAGAGGAGGAGGAGAGAGGAGAGAGGAATGAGAGGAGGACGAGGAAAATGGAGAGGAGGAAGAAGAGATGAGAGAGGAGAAGAGGAGCGAGGAGGAGGGGAGAGGTGAGGAGGGGGAGGAGGAGGAGAGGAAAGAGGAGAGAAGGGAGAGGAGCAGGAGGAGCAGAGGAAAGTGGAGAGAAGGGAGAGAAGCAGGAGGGGAGAGGAGTGGAGAGGAGAGGAAGGAAGAGAGAGGAATGAGAGAAGGATGAGGAAAATGGAGAGGAAGGAGAAATGAGGAGAGAGGAGGAAGGGAGAGGAGCAGGAGGAGAAGCAGGAGGAGGGGGAAGAGAGGAGAGAGGAGGGATAGGAGAGGAGAAGGAGAGGAAGGAGGAAAGAGGTGAGAGGAATGAGAGGAGGAGGGGGGAGGAGGAGAGGAAAGAGGAGAGAAGGGAGAGGGGCAGGAGGAGGAGAGGAGAAAGGGGAGATGAGAGCAGGGAGAAAAGGAAGGAGGAGAGAGGAGGGAGGTGAGGCGGAAGAGAAGGAGAGGAGGGAGGAGAGGAGGGAGAGAGAGGAGGGAGAGGAGGGAGAGAAGGGAGGAGGAAGGAGAGCAGAGAGAGGAGCAGGAAGAGGAAAGAGGAGAGGCGAAGAGGAGGAGAGAGGAGGAGGAGAAGAGAAGAGAGGAGCAGGAGGAAGGAGAGGAGAGAGGAGATGGGAAAGAGGAGAAGAGGGAGGAGAGGAGAGGAAAGAGAAGTGCAGAGAGAGGAGCAGGAGGAGGGAAGAGGAGAGGAGGGAGGAGATGAGAGGAGGGAGAGGAGCAAGAGGAGAAGAGGCGAGGAAAAGGAGAAGAGAGGGGAGTGGTCTGATCTTAACTCTTTTCCTCGATGTTGATCAGCTGATTCTGTGAACTGAGTCGATTCTCTTCATGTTGATCCAGTTAATTTTCACTCACAGCAGCAGAGACTCAGTTTCTTCAGCAGAGAGAGAATCACTGATGAGAGTCTCGGCTGAAAAGACTCAAAGTTCAGGATAAAAACTCCAGGATGGAGATCCGGTTCAGTTAAAGTCTCTCCTGCGGTTTAATCCTGACTTTTTCAGTGAACATCTCTCACATATTTAATATTTACATTTAACATCACGGCACATTTACTCGCCTCTTAATCCCAGAAGCTGAAGGAGCGGATTATCCTTTTGACTCATGACTGTTTCTTTTCTGGGCCTCAATAATAATAAAATAATAAATTATTAAACGCCGCTTGTTTCCTCTGACTGTGAGCCGTCTGAGTGGGAGTGGATTTGTGGTTTTGGTTACTGCGACTCGAACATCAAACGGCGGATTAACAGACTCATTTTTATTCCCAGACAGTGGATAAATGATTACCCAAGATCCTCTGGGGCCAGGCCAAGACGTGCAGACAAAATGGTGGGTGGCCGGCGAGTTGACACAGTAACGAAGAGAGAGGCGGCGGCGGCGGCGGCCTGGGATGAAGGCGACACGCCAAAGAGAGACAGAGAAACGCTGAGTGTTCAGATGACGACGACCAGCTGCTGGAGGAGGAGGAGGAGGAGTTTCATATGAGAGGAGAAAACAGCAGCAGGTATTATCGGCGTGTTATTCTGTTGAGAAATAAATGGCGCCGCAGATCCATTTGTTGATCTGAACGTCTGGGAGAAATGGGAACGCCTCAGACGCCGAACAGAAATGACCCAACAGAGGGGGTCGTTGTGAGGAGGTGTGGGACCCCTGGGAAATCAACATAATGAAATCTTCTCACCTGAAAACACACGCCGGGCCGCCGAGTGATTGCATTTCATGTGGTCGCCGTGAAATCGTGTGGAGGAATGAGGCGGTGACGGTGCGGACAAACATGGAGGGTTTAGGAGGTCTGTGAAGATCAGGGATCTCTGGCGTCATGGCGATATATTATAACCACAAAAACCATAACGTGAGAATCAGATATCCTGTCTTCTTCTTCTTTGCGTCTTCAGATGTAAATGTCGACAGTTTCTCCACGTCTTAAAATCTCAGAATCTGCCCTTTGGAGACGAACGAGTTTCATTCTCCTTGTTGAATCTTCCTCTAAAGGAGGAGTTTTGACTTTTAAAGACCCTGTTTGTTCTCTGAACCAGCAGATAAATCCGTGTGTTGTTCTCACGTCGTCTCACAGACCGCCTGCGGTCATGTCGTCCCGTTTTAAACCCGTATTTCTCATTTTCCGTCGGCTGGTTTCTGCCTCCTCTGATCCATAGCAGCCAGTGAAACCACCAGAGCAGATGGCACAGATCAGAACTTACATTAATTCATAATCACATTCAGCACAGAAAAGCAGAGCCTGACACCGAAGGACTTCCTCTGCCCGGATGAAAACTGTCATGTATTTAACACCTCGCTGTAATCGGCGCCGCTCACAAACACACACACGCTGCTAATCGGAGGAAATAAATCCTCTAATGGCTGAAAGAAAACACCTGCAGTCATGATGAGCTCCCGTCCTCGTTCATCTCAACATCATCTGGCTGTTTATTCCCTGCAGTCTGAGTCATTACATTATCAGCCTGCTGTTTATAGAAGCTGTTTAACTTGGACTCGGGTTCAGAGAAAAAACCCCGTATACTCTCTGTTTTACTGTCCGACATGGTCAGTCTGATCATGAGCTGCTGGAAGTCCTCATCCTGTCAGGATAATCGCTTAATTAAGAGGTTTATCTGTTGAAATTGTCCTTTTTTATATAAACGTTTCTATTTCCAAGAAGTAAAGAGTTTATTAGTCCAACTAACCTGATGAGTTTTTGTCTTTTATTGAGCAGTAAAACACACAAGTCCCTGTTGGGATCATCTGAAGGTCTTCCCTGAACAAGTCTTGTCTGGATGGCAGCATCTAGGATTTCCAGTTCTTTGTTGAAAGGACAACTGGACAAGTAAGTCCAGTTGTCCTTTCCAAAAGAGAGTTAGTTTTTAGTTCATCAGACCTTACCGAACAAACTATATTACGCCCATGCGATGACTCCAACTACAAAGTCCTAAACCTGCAGATCTAGTTCAGCATTCATGGAGCCTTCACAGATGTGGAAGATACCCATGACATGGACTCTGAGGATCCCCAGACCATCAGGGGTGCTGGTTTTGGACTGTGCCTTTGATGGTGGTGTCCGTGATTTCTAGAAAGATCGTTGAATTTATCTCATCTTCGCTCCAGTCCATCTTTTATGAGTCATCAGTGTTACCCGGGATTTCCACCGCACCCGGAACAGCTCCAAACAGCTCGGCCCACCAATTCCTACCAGGTTTGTTTGGTGGATTATGGACAGCTGATATCACAAGACTCACAAGAACCCGCGGATTAACGTTCAATCACACAATAACGAGTTGTCTCTATAAAGACAGACACATAGACATATAAGCAGTAGATTGTGTCCTTCCAGAGGAGGAAATCTACTTCTAGACTTCTAGAATCCGCATCTCCTCATCCATGGTGTCATCGGGGTGAAATGACGTCTAAAAACCTTTCACTTGTTCGTCTCCGCCCGTTTGCATGGTGTGAAATACGATCCTCCTGAAACACGGAGCGTTTTATTTTGAAAAGAAGCCGGATGTTTTATTTTGTGTCTGTGCCCGACTTCCTTTCCAGCACGGGTTAATCTGTGCTGAATTTATCCGCCATGCTCCGGCGTCCAGAAAAAATAGAACTCTTGTGATCAGCTGAGGAGTCCGGCGATCCGCAGAGGAACGGAAAGAAGTCGGTGTAAATTGACACGTTAAGTTGAATGGTTACCATCAGCTACGATCGGAGGATACGACCTTTTTGTAGACGTTAATTTTACACTCGTCTTTGGAAACACATTTCATAGATGCGACTATTTTCATGGCTCCTGTAAAAACACATTTCGTTTAGTTTTTATTTGTGTTTGGAGCAAATTGACAAAGTTGATCTTGTTCTTAATCAAATTCACATTGAAGATCTGAGAAAGCTTCAGAAGATGTTCGTTCACAGAAATAAACAACAGTGTCATCAGGCGAAAAACAGTAAGGTGTTTAAGACAAACTTCCCAAATAGTAAAAAGTAGAGGGACCAGAACTGATCCTTGTGGTACTCCTTTGTGGATCTGCATTAAAAATCCTACAGCTTTGAGGCGTTGATGTGGTCAGAAGAATGAAGAGCTCAGAGAAAATCCATAAAGTTCAGTTTAAACTATATAAACCTGCTCCTGCAGAGAAGATTGAGTCTGTCTCTGAGGGACTTTAGGGCTTTTCTTTCACTTCCTAAACTTAGATCAGACTTTAAAAACAGCCGATCACCAGAGTTTGTGATTTTCCTGACGGTTACTCTCTTCTCCTTTGTGTTTTCTGAGACCTGAGGGATGTTGTCGTTTGGTGACATCCCGGTGGATGTTGCCAATTCTAGAAACCCAATATTCCTCTGTCCTGATCTTGGAGTCGTTTTTCAGCTCCTATCAAACTGTCTTTGGAGCCGTGAAAGCCCTGAGGAGCGCTGAGATGTGCCAACTTTTATCAAACCCTCAGAGCCGAAGCTGGAAACAGTCAAACAGCAGCAGGCCTGTCAGACGGCAGACGCACCGAGGGTCGTTGTAACAAGCTGTCGAAGTGAGTGGGTGTGTGTTCAGCCAAAACTAATACTGAACATGAAAAACCCTCTAAAAGAAAACAAAAAAAAACAGTGTTTTTGTCTCGGAGCTGATTCCCCGAGAGGTTTCTTCACTTTCCGCACAAAAACGATCTGAGCAGCAGGCAGTCGAGAGACGAGAGACGACACTATCAGGGTGAATCCTGTTAAAATGAGTCTGAATGTTCTCGAACAAACAGATGCATGTTGTCTAATTCTCTTTTTTATATATTTACTTGTCTGACACTTATATAGTTCACACACTCGCTCCAATCAGCTCTCTGAGGTTGAACACTGGAGTTAATTTCTCAAAAAGCAGATACCAGAGCGAGGAGATGGAGATGCTTTTCAATAAACAATATTTTATGTAAACATAGATATCAAGCCTCCAGTGAGAATAGAAATAGGTATGGGAATCAAGAAATGGTACAATCCATCGACATCATTTACATTTTATCTTAACGATTATTTTCTTCTGGGCGCCTTGAAAATCGGCCTCGAACTGGAACAGAGACAGAGTAAAAAACAAGGCTGATGTACGAAAAGTAAACAGAAATGATCTAAAGCGTGGTTTAATTTGATGTTTGTGGAGCAGTGATAACATGCAAAGATGGAAACACCAGAAACATGCTTAAACATTTGTCAACATGAGACGACATCAAATATAAGGAGTCACATGTATTCGATACTCTCCGCCGGTCGTCAGCTGCTGCTCCGTCTCAGCGCGGCATAGAAGGTACGAATGTTAGTGTGACCATACGTCCTCTTTTACCCAGACATGTCCTCTTTTGGGGGGAGTTTAAAAAAACCTTCAAATGTCCTGAACGTGTTTTCATTATAAAACAGTGCAGAGCATCAGTCCTCTCTGCAGCTCCGCTCACGCCTAAGTGAAGCCGCTGACGCGACGCACGAATCCACTGTCTTTGGGAATTCAGAATATTATACGTTTAAAAATTTCACACACAAGTCCGCCCCACTTAGTCGTGTCCTCTTTTTCGAGGTTCAGGATATAGTCACCCTAACATATGTCCTGTGTTAACGTAAACACAATGCATGTCAGACTTAACAACGTATTTTGTATTTGACTTAATACTGACCAAAGTAAATGCTGTAAAATTATTTTAGACTCTCACTGAAGGTGGCGTACATCTTCGTCTGTTATCATAGACTCAGTAAAACTTTGAGTTAACAGTGAAAACCTGTAATCTATTTCTTTTAAAATCAGGCATTGATAAGGGAATCGTTAAAGAACTGAATCGATAAGCAGAATCGATAAAATCTTATCA